AATGAACTATTTGAACACTAAAAACTACCTAGTCTGCAAGATGACATTTCGTAGGTTTTTTTTACGTTTTTTGGCCTTTTTACATAATACTCCTATGGTTTCATTGGATGGCCGAGTTCTGTCAAAAACCCGTTCATTTCGGCTGGTCAGCTGCTGGAAAAAAGCTAGTCTATTTGTTTAGGGCTAGGGTAAGACCAAGCCTCGAGTGTTGCTCACACGTTTTGGGGTGCTGCCGCCCCAACTAAATTATTAATGATCGAAGCTGACCGGAGGAGGGCTATCCGACTGTTAGATGACTCTTCTCTAACAGACCCCTTTGCACCGGCACGGCGGGCCGTCGGCGATCTAGCTCTCTTCTAGCGCTATACCAACGGACTTTGCTCCTAAAGGTTCTCCTCTCTGACCCGCCTGACTTCGGTCTCCCATCCTAGCTGTGTCGAACTCCGTACATCCAGAACTGGCCGATACGACAGCTCCTATTTCCTAAGGTGTCGATATTGTGGAACGATCTACAAAATGAAGACTCCTCTCAGTTCAAAAATCGGATTAACAAAGTTTCTTTGGAATTCTCATAGCAATCTGGGCATTTTGGCTTCTGCCTACGCGCGTACTTCGGCGTGAAAAAAAAACTATTCTGTCAAAGTCGATTAAATCAATTTCACGTATTAACAAAGAACTATACATTTTTAATTGAGTGCTCTATGATGGGGCTTTACGGAATGAAATGACAGTCGAAATCTTGCTTTAGCGGTTTTTCTGTTATTACAAAAGATTCAAGCATAATAGTAAACCTAAAATAATAGCTAAAAATGTAAGCTTTCGTCGTAATTAAAAACTAATAAAAAATTCATTCATATATGCTTAACGGTTTCTATAAATTCCTGAAGGGCCCGATTTTACTAACAGCAGATCAGCATTCTTGATCAGGATCAAAATGAACCAGTGGGAAAGCATCTTTCTAGTAATGATTCTAATCATAAGTCATTTTTTTATAAAATATCTCTCAAGCTAACGAAAAATTTACGATTTATGTAAGAAGGGCCCCTAATCCAAACAATGAAATCGAGAAATTCTTAATAAGGCTACAAAAACATATTTTTCCACTTAATCCGGAGACCAAGCTAAGCCAGTTTTCGATGCAGTTTTCCTAACACGCTTTCTAGATGGCCATTTTTGATCATAGGTTTTGATTTCTCGATCAAGTGAAAAAATCCCAACTAACAATTATCACTCCTATTAGAGTTGCAAGAATGATTATACAGTATTACTTAAACAGCATTGTATACTGTAAGAACATTAGCAAAACCCTCTTAGAACAGCTATACAAGCGGAATGGGCACACCTAATAGGACACTTCAGTCATGTAAGAGGTTGTATAAGGGCTACAGGTTACAGTTATACAACAAAAGTGTAAGCCTCTTGCAGCCGCTATAGGACATTTGCGCCAGTGCAAGATTCAGTTTTTGTCAACTATGCAACTATTCTGTTACGTGATTCTACTTTATTGCAACCAAATTATTTCTTATGTATTGTAAGACGAAGTGAAGAATATATAACTAACACATTACAGTCATCTTTTTTACTTATATATCGGCCATTGTGAATTTCACAAACAGGTATATGATAAACTTCTACACTTTGATATAGGGCTATTGAATTACTTGCGCAGCAAATTTTATTGTGATTATCGTGCAAATTAGTGACCCAATTTCTACGGGCTTCGTATTTGATTCATACTTTGACAATGATCAGTAGTATGTCTAGATTTTTAAGATGGAAAACTGAACTTATAAGCGTTAAATCTTCCACAAATCCTATATTTAGACACATTTACACTAATTTGTATCACTTTATATCTGTAATTTCGAACTGAAACATAAATATTTAATATCAAATGGAGGAATAAATGTTTGCCTAATATGGCGGGTGGTTGTGTACAATCATGACATCGTCCATGTTGTCTTTAGGTTATTAGAATATTTTGGTGTTGCCTGCAGGTGTTATACAACAATTTGACAAATGTCTGAAATGAAATACCGACAGAGTCGAATGATTTACCCAGAATTTGTACCAGATCTATGTCTTCTGTTTGAACAGTTGATAAAACCTTCTGAACCAATATGCATGCGTTGTTGGTCTTAAAACACTGGTTATGGCATTTTAACCAAAATTAGACAGCAGAAAGTTAGGTTAAGGTGAAGTTGTATACCAACATATTTAGCATATGTACAGCCTTTAACAGTTACTAAACAACAGTTGTATAAGTGCTTCCGTTGGGAGCAATTTGTTGGCTAAGGTAGTAAATTGCACAGCAAAACAACAAGGCTCGGGTTTGTCTTATAAACGTTACCATGGATGCCACAATACAAACATTTTGACTAACGTTTATGCAACAGTTAAAAATTTGCGTTATAACGTGTTGTATAACTATGCTATAAGAATATTTTAAACACCTCATTTTAGAGCAAATATGTTGCAGAAAGCAAATTTGCATTTCACACAAAATTAAGCCGGCATTTTGGTGTTCAGGCAACAACAATAGAGAGCTTTTATGGCTGAACGGTTCTTTTACCAAAAGCTTGCTTATACCACTACTTTGCTTGTTGGGATGTTTTTGTAGCGAAACCAGGTGATTGAAAGAGGCTCTTCTTACACAACTCATATATGTTTTCGTTATTTTGAAAAAAATTTTAGAACAAATCGACTATATTTATTTGATTCATTACTACAAATACGACGCCTTCTCATCGGTCCATTTTAATCACGATCAAGAACCTTGATCCCGCGGATCAATAGTTAAATCCGGCCTTAGTATTGATATTTTGAGAAAATGATCTTAATTGAGTTTGGATCAGTCAAATATATCCACATTAGTCTCATCCTCTCGGTAGAGCTTACCATCGTACTTAAAAAGATGCCAGATTTTCTTGAATCAACCATGCAAAATAAGGTCGCCCGTGGTATATGTATTTTTACGTCACAAAACAATTTAAATAAGTCTGTTGAGCTTTGGAACTCGTTTAATGACAGAAGTGCTTGAAACATCCAGACTCCTTAGAGCTTATTTTCGTCAGAAAAGTGATGCATTACTAGTAACTAACTTGAATTTGCTGAATTTATGAAGGTGCTTCCAAGAAACCTACCTATATTGTTTTCTTTGTTGGCATCCTAACATTACGTAGGCGCATTAGCTACACAACCGTGCTTTGGGAGATTAATTAGTGTCCATTTTATATGAGATCAAATGTTTGATACCAAAGGCCCGGCTTCATAATCATCCATCAAATTTTTATGCATTTTTTCTTCAATCCTAGATTGATAATAAGCAATGGCTCTAAAATTGTATGTGAATAATCCACTCTTATGGAACAATTGAGCGGGTGTTTGCTTTTATCTTATCACTTCCTATCTTCAAAATATTTTCCTTTTTTTTTAATTCAATTTGCTGCAGAATGAGGTTTCATGAAATTCATAGATTCTTCGAAGAGAAAAAGTGATAATAATAGAAGTAATCACCCGCAAACATCTATTATAAAAGAGGAATTTGGAATACAGTTTCAGAGCTGTATTTGTTAACAAGTAACGATTGGAGAAAGGAGGCACAAGAAACCGCATGAAAAATGCACTTTTTGAGAAAAAAAATTGATAATGTGTTTCTTAGTCATCTCTATAGACAGCATGACATAATACTTGCATATTAAAATGATTTAGAATACTGCTATAAATAGGAAGTCGAAAAAAGTGACGTGTCATGTCATCGCACTGCTTGAAGAAGTATTTTGTGCCATGTGAATCCAATTAATAGCTATTATATACACATAGTAGAACAGTTAAAGATGAAAGACGAAAATTTGGAAGCAAAGGAAGGATGGTTGTTCAATGGGATGTCATCTTTACTGATACAGATTGTGAACAAAAAAGTTCTAGAGATCAAAAATAAAAGAATCTGTTGTCGGAGTATACTCGATATAGGAAAATGAAAAAGCGCAAATCATGAAACTTCTTTATTCAATTTTAACATAAGTGTCACATTTCTGAATATCTGATGGGGTTCGTGTGCTCTTGGTTTGAAAAGGAGGACAAATAAATCGAGGCCCAACAAAACAAATAGAAGATGCAGTATTTTTATAACAACATCTATTAACTCTAAGAAACAACACTCCCCAACAATGATAGAATAACGATATGGTTGTTCTTTATACGCATTAGGTGGTGGTAGATACCCTAACAGTCAGATACAGAATCTAATTCATAATACCTGGAAGGCAGTTGCGGGAAAATATGAATCTTCTTCCTGCGAAGCCTCTGTACTAGTGGTAGTTGAATATAAATTATCATGCAAATCCTCCCAAACTCCTCGATGCTTCAGAGAAAATATTTTTTCATTCCTTTTGTTTACTGAGCGCCTCTCAAAATCTCCGTCTTTTTTTTTTGGCTTCCCAAGTGTTCCCAGCTTCCCAGGCACACCACCGCGCACAACATTTTCACAATTACACAGATATGCCCACTACACATTTTTGTATTTTTTGAGTAATGGCTCAACAGTTAGGTTTAGGTATGTTTTTGAAGCTTCCTCTACTCTAACTCTATCTCCACAGTTTGTTACAGGTATCAAGATCAAGATCATCATCGGCAGTTTCGTACCAGTTTTTTGGCATTTCTCAGCCTCCAATGTAGCCTTTGCAATTGTAGTGCTTCTCCAGTTACATTCAGTTCTCATGATTTTTCTGCATTGCAGCGAACAAACAATGCACAAAATAAGCGATTCCGAAAATTACAATAAATGGAAAAACGTGCCAGACTATGTCACAAGATCTTCACAAACATTCTTATATTCAAAATCAAATTCAAATACATTTTAATTAAAAAGAAAACATTCCCCCGTATTGTGCAAAATACACTCAAACAATAATATTTTTGACAAAAAGGACAGATTCGCGATCACAAATGACCGTTAACACACAGCCTCGCATAAGTAGGGTAGGTGTGAAAATGCCCTGTTATACACTAATTTACACAAACTGTAATATATAAACAATATTTAGGTATTTAATGATTTAATTTATTATGAACATGAACCATTGATATCACAGAAAAAAAAAATATGTACTTACACCCTCAAAATGTCATCGTTCCGACGGGAGGGGAGCACCGGAAAGGGGGAGAAGAGCGGCAGAAAGCAACAGACGCGAAGCCACACCGACGAGCCCTAATACAGTTAACCACATCGAAACACATCCACACAAACATACACATCTACCATCAGATGCTCGCTTCTCCATCTTAATAAAAAATAAATTTGAAAAAGATGACTTTGAAAAACTAAATTTTGCAATAAGTATCCGTGCACAATCACACTCATTATTGTATTATTGTTCCTGCAGAAGCATGGCCATTATACGAGTATACTTTGAGAACACTCTTTGAGACATTACCTTTACATTATTATATAGACTGTTCCACATTTGAAGTGCAAGAAATGAAAAAGAAGTTGAAATTCTGCAGACCTATGTCGAGGAGTAATAAAAATATTCTGGTTATATCTTGTTCCGTAATTATGATTAAGAGTTGAAAGTTCATTTTTCAAATACGGAGGCTTTCCTGATTATTCTATAGATGAAATTAAATAAATTATGTTTCCTGCGATTTAGCATGTTCAGTATAGACAAATTGTTTAGGTAAGGCGTTATGTGGTTACGATAAGGTATGTTAAATGAAAATCGTATGCAGGCGTTATGCACGTTTTGTATCGTATTTTTAGTAGTCAAAAAGCGACAGTATGAGATTCTGACAAAGGAAATAGTTATGCTTACGCCGGCTCCACACGTTGGCCCCAACGCCACTCGCCCAACGTGTGTATCTAGAAAATAGCGTTGGCCCCAACGTTGGAGCGACCGTTGGTAGTTGGCTGTCGATTGTCGGTTTTATCATTTTCTAGATACCCACGTTGGGCGAGTAGCGTTGGAGCCAACGTTGGGGCCAACGTGGGGACTATCTCATTGTTTATACGGATATTCAAACTATAATCCTAAGTGTGAAATTATACCCCAAAATTAAAACTTTTGATTTAGAAGCATTAACTTTTAAACTATGGCATATGGCAAAACTGTTTACCTCTAGCAGGTCTGAATTAATGTGATTTTCGGTTGTGCCCAAATTGTCGTTATTAATAGCAATACAAAGTTGTAAGTAATCGGCGTACTGATGATGCCTTGCATAAGCAACAGCTTCAGACATATCAGCCACATAAATACTAAACAGCAAGGGCGAAAGGATTGATCCTTGAGGGACACCTTGTTTTACAGGTTTAAATTCAGATTTGAGACAAACGAATCCTTGAGAAATCATAACACAGCTTGATCGAGTACTTAGATAACTTTTTAAAAACTTATTGCGTTAGGTGAGAATCCAAAATAGTTCAGCTTTGACTTAGGGTGGATTTCACAATTTAACAAACCATTACTCTGCACCAATAGGGTACGAGTACCAAACAGTCCGTTAAAAAATATACCCAATCAGCCTCAAGATCTCTCCGTCAAATTTTTGGCAGCAAATAGCATCAAAGTATTCAAAACAAAACACTGTAAAATATGAAGTGACAGCTTCTCATTGAAATCTTTTCAGTTTATTAAATATTATGAAATTATGTAAAACTGAGCCAAATTTTTTGAAAATGCTTGATGTCTGAGTAAAATCTATTGTTTCAGATTAGCTGAAGGTTTTTCCATCTTTACTGCAACTTTTGTAATCCATATGTGATTATATCACCTACTGTGTGCTTATAGTTTATCCTATATTTGCAAACTTGCACTTCCACTCAAATTTTTGTTAGGTCTTGCATTTCAACACATTCATACACTTCTTTTTTGTTTTAATTTCAGTGTATAATCAGTCGCACCATCGGTGATGGTACATTCAACATAACCACGTATTTAGGGGTTCGTGCAGATTTAACGTGTACACGACGTCATCATTAGGCGCTCCTCTGGCGATGTCCGATTGCATTCAAGTGCCTTCTGCAGGTACCTCTTCACCACGGTCAGGAGTTGATACCAGCGCGGCTCTCGTTTTTTTTGCTCTAGGCATGGCCATCCTCGATTAATCGCACAAAAAACAAGTCCAAGGCAGAAAAACACACCCGAAGACGAACACCAAAACAAATCTCTACCGCAAATTCGTCAACAACTCAAACAAAAACAACAGATGATTCACCGCCTGGCTTTGACCGTAAATCGTCATGGAACACGAGATACCACAGAATTATTATAATTACGTCAAAACGAGCATAGAACAGTATAGAAAGGGCTATCCAAGGGTAAGACGAGATCCAAAACCACCCGAATCATGTCAAAAAATGGCTGTGACGTCACCAAAACGTTGACCACCACTGGAAATCACTAGCTAGTTACCATCTGGCGGCGTAACACGTGGAGGACACTTGTGTAGAAACAGCTATTCCTTAAATTCAGTTACGTTAAGTCGTGCATGAGCCCGACATTATTTTTCAGTAATTACTTATAATTTTAGGTCTATGTCTACAGTAATTGCATTATGCACCTCGGAGATTAACATGTTTTACACATATCGGTGTTTTAGGATGGGGACGACATATTGTATTGATTGCTTTGAAGATATTCATTAACCCATGAATTTATAACAAATGATTACTATTATGATGTAAAGAGAGATGAGGAATTGGTTGGAATACATTTTATATTCTATTTTCTTGCAAATCCGCACAATTCAACAGGTATGTGTAGCTATAATGATCTCATAATATACACACAGTATATTGAACTTAACAAATTTCGAGATTGGCATGAATTAACAAACGACCAAACCTGCTGCCAAATTTAACAGCTAGAAAATCGACCTATTATTTCTCCTATTCCCATTCGCTGAGGGGATAACGGATGGTCAAATGTACACCTATAACATAAATCAAAATACATGAAAGTTGTCCTGTTTTCTCTGTACAAAAGCATCATGTTGGAATCAAAAAGTGGTCTTGTTTATAATACAGTCGAATTTTCACGATTTTATTCAACATTTTAATAGAAATCACTGATATTCTGAGACCTTTGACAGCTTCCGTCAAATTGCCTTTCGATAAGGTATTTTCCTATTGGTCCATAATAATAATGTTGGTGAAATCGGCCCGAAGAGTAACAAAAGCTTTGCTTATATGTTAACCTGTTAATCATTTTTACTAGGCAAAAAGCAGCCGTTAGCTTGGACAGTCCTTATTTAACCTCAACTGGCCAATGATATCGCTTAATTGATAACAGCTTAATTAAATATAACAGCGTACGGAATCGTCCCTAACACTGGCCTGAACGCGTTCATTACCATCAGAAAAATGTTCCTGCGAATCGGCACTTTTGAAGTTCTCCATTCGTAATGCTGTCTGTTTGCTCTAAATTAGCATGAGACGTGTCTGGCAATATAGGTGAATGCAACGCATGTAGCTACCCAATAACCGGTGTATAAGACCGAGGAACAATGGCTGCGACACCGCATGACAGATTGGACATTGTGATGCCAGGGAAGACGTAGGGGGGAATGGGGCCGACCTGTCCGTATCTAAGTCGACTCTGAATCTAAACAGGGCCCCTAGAGGCGCAGGCGGCTCGGTGTTGCAGATATCAACCTCATTGACGAATTAGTAACGGAGATCGCTTTCAGTAATTAGAGCAGGCTCGTTGATGACCGACCCTGCTCCCTTCACTGCGAAATTGTGCAACAATACAAGCCCCTCTTCTCTCCTTCATGCCCTGTGGATAGACAAACGGAAATTACGGTAGGTTAAGGTAGGAAAGCTCATGAACGCACTGCCCACAGAATGCAACACGAATTAAGAAGTTTCCTATAACCAAAAATACTGCTAGTTTCTCTTGTGTATAATAGTGTAGCTGGTGTCTTTCATATATGACGAACTTTTTCGATAACTTAAAGTTCAGGGAAGTTATGACATTTTGTGGATTGGGTGGTGTAGCCGATCGCCCTCGCCTCGATCGTGACGTCACATGACATAAGTTCAGCTTCTGCATATCGCGTTCATCCTTAGCGCTCAAGATGACCAGTCGCAATATATTGCTTGTACCTTGGCATAGACTGCTGTTCGATGGTATAGATATACAAATACAATACATAAAACGGAAGGTTTTCTGCGTTCCGATTTCACTGATCTTCTAAAAATAGACACAGGTTAATAGTTAAATACCTGGTATTTCAAATTCGACCCTCACCATTGGGACCAAGGGAACGGTGAGTCGCTTAAATGGGGGCATAGTTGCGTATTTAGCTAATCGCCAAAATGCCGCTTAGAATGTTTCGAAATTCAAAGTATTTCCGGAAAGAGACGGAAAAAATCGAATTTTCAAAAATGGATTTTAGTTTTTTCCAGACTTTTTTGCATTAATTGGAATTTCAATGTGATGTTTTGTCTCTTATCTTCCAGCGGCAACTTAGTAGTTTTTTGCAGTGGATGAATAAAGTTTTTAATTCGGATTCTAAAAATGCGTCCTGATGTAATTTGAGATGGGATTATCCTCCTCTACAAGATGGTGTAGTCAGATTTTCAATTCGAGATTTCTTCTTTCGATTTCCATCACCAACTTTGTTTTTTTCAAATGAACGCTATATTGGAATTTTGTACATTTAAATGGACTTTTCAGCCATAAATTCAGTGATATATTAACCTTAGTTAGCTACGAATTTGTTGTTGGATAAAAATTTTGGCGAAATAAAAAGGCATGGTGAAATCTGAACACCTAATGAAAATTTTATTGATGGTAATAACAATAATCATAAGTAAGCAGATGTCAATCATAGCAAATGCTCAAAATGTTGTCCGTTGTTTTTTCGACAAGGTCTGAGTCTTCTCTGTACATTGTTCACTACTCGATTTATTTCCCTTCTTCTCAGCCTTCCAAACTCTGTGACTATGTTCAATTTGAGGTCTGGCATACGAAACAAATGACTACTTTTATGCGAAAAACAAAGGTTACGTTTTTTTCTTCTAAACAAATGCAAACATTTCGTATTTGTGAGTAATTGAACAAATACGCTACGATATTCGAAAAACATACATGACTGTACACATTTTAAAACAAAGCGGATGTGTCTATCATCTTTTGTCGCAAATTAGTCACAAGTACTAAATGTTTGGCTTTGTTTAGAAGAAAAAACGTAACCCATCCTTTTTTGCATAAGAAAAACATTTACTTTCCAGAATGGTTTGCGATTCATGTCGCCAAGGTAAACTAGTGTATTTTGCTATAAAATGCCCTTAGAACTAACCCAGATAGCTCAATAAACTAGTAGTGATACCTGGAAAACAGGTGTTTTGGGATAAACAATTAGAAATTCTCAAAACCTACTTGACCAATCTACTCCAATTTTCTTGTGGTTATTTAGAAGTACGAATTCTACGAATTTTAAGAATTTCAAACATTTGCGAGAAATCATTGTCGCATTACAAGTGTCAAAACCCGCAGTTTGCCTCGATTTTTGCGCATAACTGTTTTCCTATTAGTCGGATCTTTTTACGCGTGGTCTCATTTTGTAGGTCTTATAAATACCTCAATATCTCAAGAGTTTTTTCGTCCCTGCCAATACTTTCGATTGAATCCCAAAAAACACGTTTTCTCATTATTTTTTGCCGA